CCCCAAAACCCCAAAACCCCAAAACCCCATGCGAAATAAACAGGTTAAAATTTTAACTTTAAGGAAATCAAAATAAAAATAATTAGGGACCTTTAGGTTTTTATTAAAGACAGAATGACACAAAGGAAATGGCTATAATCGAAACAATCAGTAGAGCAAGCATGAAAATCCTTATCGCAATATCTAATTTATTATAGAGTAGCTCCTATTTTTTGCAACCACAATTTTCCTAGTCATTTACGTTATCTTAAAGTTGAACCTCCTTCTAACTAATCTGATATTGTTAGCAATTGCAACAATATTACCTCGTTCCTTTTTTTTTACAATTTCACATGTTTACTTCGCTGTCGGCCAAATAATGATGAGGAACTTTTAAACCAATATGTCGCTCGCATTGCTTATTCTAATCCTGAGAAGATGGTAACTTTATTTTGTACCGATTTCTATCTGATACACATTCTATTAGCATAGCAGTGTGACTAATTAATCTTTTCAATTTAGATTGGTGCTTTGCTTCCCGTTTATTTGGCTAAGGAGGTGCACATTTTTAAGAGTGTTCAAATGTAACAATAGCTTAATTTACATAATCTGCTATTTATTTGTTGTGTGAAACACCTAGGACATAAGGTTTATAATCTGATTTACTAAGATCTTCGAATAAAAAATAATTGCAAAGCTCCTATAATTGGAAGTTTAAAAATAATTTTTATACCTTGATTTACAGCATTACAGGTCTACCGTTTTAATCTTCAGAGACAATATTATAGTCATATTGGTATTTACTCAAGTTTTGTTAAAAATAATCAAGACATTCCTAATATTGTTTATCTTTCAATCGCTTAATGAATTCTATTGAATGCAAGGAGCAGCTAATAATAGGATCTATGAAAATATAAATTTTCATTAACTATTCATGATACTTACTATTTATATATAGCTCATTAAAGTGTTTTTGCAATAGATTAATTGCCTCTTTAATCTTAGACTTTAAAATCAGTTTTTTAATCTCTATTAAGATGTTATCAATATTTAGTATTACATTTCCTAAGTGGAAGATCATAATTGTAGTACTTTACTTCAAGCTATCTATTTGATCTTATTTAACTTTGCTGTTATTCATGAGCAGGCTCAGCCATTGATTCTAATCTTGATCTAAAATCATTAGCAAATACAGTAGTATTATCCTCTTCAATTTCGTTAACCATTGATAAAAATCTATTATTCCTTATGGGAGCAACTGAACTTTATTATTCTAATCCAAGCATTGTCATTGATTAATCGGCATTATTATTATTGTTGTTACTAAGAGTAAATTCCTTCATACTATTAAGTCTCATTTATCTTCCAATTTTAGGTAGTTAAAGCATCATCTGGCCGCTATCCACCTAATTATCAATGAGATCCATGTTTTCTTAATCTTTTTCCTTAATAATTGATAACTTTTCATCTTGTAAATCAATAGCCTCTAATGTATTAATACAACCCTCATTAATTAAGTAATCATGGACTAGTGACTTTATGTCAATTGTTGAAACTTTCTTTTCATTAGTAATAATGTTGAAAGCATCTCTATAATAGTCTTTTAATTTGTTCTAAATATCGTAATCGAATCTTTCTGCTCCAAAATTAACCCGAATCTAATCATCTCTAGAGCTAAAACTTATAGTCGGATACAAAATTTTATCTCTCATTGTTGAAGGCAGCTTTGCTTAATATATTTCTTTACCTTTGCTTGTAAAAAATATCGTCAAAGTTTTATGTATTACACCTACTCCAACAAACTCATGATCTGTATAAATTTGAGTTAGGCCCCCAATCAGTTGTGATGTTATATCTTTTTCAACTTTATTATTGTGAAATATTTTGTTGTCTCCCCTTAATCCCATTGATCTATATATTATTTTTATCATAAGAGCATCCTTACTCAGCTGATTCACCACAGTACTTATTGAAATGTAGTTCTTCAGTTGACAATCCGACATAAAATTAACTAAAATTGAAGTTAAGGATGATGTGAAATTTATCCCTATTTATGATTATTTCAAGATATTCTTAGACAGAATTTATTAGTCAGTCAATTTATAAATTGACTGATATCCTCATTTTTACAAACCATGACTTTTTACTTACTTTCTTTTGTTTCCTGCCCTCGAAAAGGAAATCTCAAAATAAGAAATAGGCTCAGGATTCAATGATGATGATTCAAAAAAGTGCGTAAATTATACACTTATTGAGTTGCTAATTGGCGGGGATGATTTTTTGAAGCTTATGGTGTTATTTTCCAGATCAATCATTCTCTTTACTTGCTCATCTCCTTTAATTTGCAAATATTTCTATATTTGAGAAAATAAGTTGATGCAGTGAGGGAATTCAAAAATAGGTAAATGATTACTTACTGATGAGTGTGTGGGATTGCATTTTAGAGTGAACTCAGACTAGAATTCCTGAAAATTCATTATTTTCAATTTAATTTTTGCTAATTATTTATATTTTTATCTTAAGTTTCTCAAATAATCATACCAAGGGGTTTTGGGGTTTTGGGGTTTT